GTCAAATGAGATCATTATGATTTTTCCAAAATGACTTTTAAGTGATGTCATAATGATGTCATTATGAGTTTTATGTTCTACCTGGGGACTGTGCCTTATTACCTGCACCCTCCGAAAGGATTTCTGTTACCTAGACAAAAAATATTTTTGACGCATTTATATTTCTCACAATCTCATTTAGTATAAAAATAAGACAATAAAATCAATAATTCTTATTCTCCTCTATCGAATTAAAAAAGATTGGCTTGCTATTTCGGGACAAGAGTAACTTATATAAACGTAAGTTTATGTATTCTTGCGTTTAGAGTAAATTTTCTCTCCAACGCACGAAGTTTATCATTTTATTCTAGATTTTAGAATTTTTCATTTAAGATTAAAATATTCCTTTCTGTATAATAAATATGATTGGCGCTATATTCTATTTTACGATACATTGAAGTGTAACAGCATTGAATCTGGAAATTTTTGTGCGTACCGCTCGCATTGGCCTTCCCTCCTAAAATGCCACGGATCGTCCCACGGTTATGTTTTCAGGGTAGATTTTAAGAGAAAATTCTCTCCGTGTGCAATATGAACATACGTCTCGGTACACTTTTTTGTCATTTTGAGAAATTAAAACCTTACGAGAATACGCTTTAATTCCAAAATTACTTCATACTGTAGGTGCTTTTTTTTTTACCATTTTTATTTCTAGCAGAGAAATGAATCTGACAAAAATGTTGAACCAAAATAATGAAACGTTTAGAACCCACGATATAACACTGACTTATATCACCGCGGCACAGTTGTCGCGTCAGCCGCAGGACATCCTGTGTAACTCATCGGCTTTTAACGGACGAAAATGCCAATTGTGTGTGCCGCGCGCATTTAAAACTGCCTGAAAGCCCATCGTTGATTAGTCACGGGCGATTGTGCCTGTATTTTCTGCGTCCGCAACTGATCGCTTTGTCGGCCGATAATCGCGTTTCGATGGGACACGTGACGTAACGGATTCAAATGGTACCTCTCCCGCGAGTGTTCCACCGTCGGCTTTTCATTCCGCGACGCGGCCTCGCCTCGCATTTGCTCCCGAAGCACGGCGCCGAGCGTTAATGAGACGGCGTTGCACCGCATTATCATCGCCCACCTTCTCCCTATCAACGTTTGTCAATATTTCCGCAAGGAGCCGAGCTTAATTTGCATCGCGTGTAAACGCGGTGATGTATGGCCGCGTGAAAAAGACGTTGATTACACATTTTGTCAGCGTGCCGCGGGGGGTGCGGGGACGCGTTAGATCGACGCCGAGCGTTTATACCGCGCGGAAAGTGGAGAACGCTCGACGGACGTCTGGCGGCGTTGCGACTTTACTGTAACTCAAGAGGCGTACGTTACAAAGAGGGTCACGACGCGCCTCTTGAGACTGAAATATGGGGGCTGCTCGTTTTTGAGCCGCGCTTTTCGCCCCAAACTCCATCGGACGTGATGCGTATAAATTATCGACACGAGAGGCAGGAGCGAGAGGGTGGCTCGAGAGGAGAGACATTTCTAACGTCGAGTTTCTAACTGTGTATACATCTCTTTTATGCGCAATTGCGTCGGAAGAATTGCAGGCTGTATTTTGTATTTTATGGAGTCGAATCGATAACGTCTCTCGTTCGGAGACGCTCAAATTGAACGGCGAATCTCGAAATCTTCCTCCGGAACGCCCGGTATATTTTTCGTATTTGCGTCATCCGCTTAAAGAGATAAAGCGAAACTAATTTACGAAGTACCCGCTAACGAGGAGCGAGGAGCTACTTTTTGATTCCACCTTGTAATGAGATGAACACATCTCTTGAATATAAAAGGATATTTAATCCTGTGAGAATAAATAAGAACGCCGAGAGGCGCCTTGGACAAGAGTGATTATTCATTTTGGATTAGAGGAGAGAATTTACGCATTAAGATTATTCTTATCGCGTATAAAGCGAGAAGATTATTAGGCGCCTTATCAGAGTTTGCTGGCAAAACGTACGGTAAAATTTCAAAAAGCTCTCATAAAGTTCTTCAAAGTGCCATGTTGTCCCACGATTTCCGGGATAAATTTGAAGAGAAAATTCTCCCCGCGTACAAATCGGTCAGCTTCCACTTTTACATATTTTCTCAAAAATATAACATATTTAAGTAGCGAAAACAAATCCCATGATTTGCGATTTACAAGCGTGAGACGACGACGTCTTATCATTTTAACGGTGACTAGAGATCCTGTAATCAGAGACTGGCCATAAGAGTGCGAGTGAGAGAGGAGAAACATAGACTATCTCACTCTTCTACGATTTGACGAACTCTTATGGCCAGTCTCTGATCACAGGGTCTCTAGTCGCCGCTAAAGTGATGAAACGTCGTCGTCTCACGCTTGTAAATCGCTCGTCATGGGATTTGTTTTCATTACTTAAATATACGTAATATTTTTGGGAAAAGATGTAAAAGTGGAAGCTGACCGATTTGTACGCGGGGCGAATTTTCTCTTCGTTACGATCGCAGAAGAGTGAGATTTCTCTCTCACTCGCAGGGATTCGATCAACTCTTAGGGCCAGTCTCTGATTACAGGGTCTCTAGCGGTGACGAGTAGTGCGCGACATACCGCAATGTGCGGATCGAGGCGCAGGTATTCCGCAGGGCTATCCCGATCAATCGGCATCTTTCGATCGCAACGTCACGGCGCTTTTATCTCGTACGTGGCCTCGGCCCGCGCCACGCCGCGCCGCCAAGGTCTAGCCGGGATAGTTTGCGCGCGTGCACGTGTAGATACCTGAAATTGCTACGGCCAAATCTCATTCGTGCGTGGGATGACAGGGCGGTTTCGGGGGTTCATGGGCGTGTAACGTCTAGCCGGGAGCGCGATGCCTCCTCCGACCATCGAGTCGGCGGACTACATGTATAGTGCCGTTGTAAGGTGTACTCCGTATTGACCGGGCTCGCCTTGCTCCGCTGCAGCGGACTCGCGGCACCGCTACGTGCGAAGTCTGCAAATGAATTTTTCGGACGTGCCCGAGACGATCGCCGGGCATTGTCGTCCGGGACGAGGGGTGCGCATTCTTCGTTGTCGCGCGAAGGTCACCTCCGAGACATCCCTTTCTCTCTCTCTCTCCCTCTCTCTTAAAAAAATCTCCCCCGTCGGTATTCGCCGGTGAGTTTACGGCGTCGTTTCATTTTATAAGGTCGGAAACATCCCCGTCCCCCAGGTCGTGTACAAACGTGCGCGAGCGGCTCGTTACGTTTTATTCGCGGCATTAATGAAAACGACTGTCGGAAGTGCGGCGAAACGGCGGACCCTCCCGTGAGCGCGAGCCACGAGGCCTAATCGCTCGTTTAGGTCGACTCGCCGGGCCGCACTTCGCGCCGATGTCGGACGCGAGCGACGTAAATGTGTGTCCGTCTCTCAATCGATTTGCGCTTCCTTGTGCATTCCAGGTGGGCATGGAACGTCGTGACGTCATACTGACAGCAGTTTTCGGAACAGTCGGTGCTCTTGCAATTCTAGTAGGACTCGCATTAGCAATGTGGCTCTATCTACGCGCCAGGAAGTCCAAGCAGCGGGACGACGATCTCGAGGACCAAAACGATAACGGCGACGGCTCCGGCCAGCAGCAGCAGACCACTAAGAAAAACGGCTTTCTCAATCTGAAGACGCCCCTGATCAGCACGAAGGCTCTCGGGTAAGTCTCCTTCCTTACCAAAATATCTCTAACAGCACGTGCAGATTCCGGGAATGTTCGGAGGATATCGTAAAAGTGCAGATACTCGCGGAGCATTTTCATGGTACGGTCTACGTAAAGAAGAACGGAACACCACGTGCTGTTCGGGGGGATCGAGTGATCAGTGTCACGATCCAGCTCTGAACACGGCCATTTTTTCCCCGGGCGAGTTTCCTCTCGCGAGGAAGAATCGATAGTTTCAATCTTCCATCGATACATCGGATGCGATACGAACGATACCTTTTATACTACCTGCTTTTTACATTTTGCTCTTGGTACTCTTATATCTTTGTGTCTTTATATTTTCACATCGTCTCTGCTGCAATGATTAGCGGCGAGGCAACATCTCCGAGTTTACGTAAGAATAAATGAATACATCCTACGTTGACTTCGGGGGAGGGCAAACAAGCCGCAGTCGTTGTGCGTTCGTTACTTTTGTTTGCTTGCCCGCGCGCGGGCTTGTTTCTGCCGCTGCTACGCCGAGTCGCTTCAAGATACCGCGATGTATTCATAACTCGACAAAGAGTATCATTAATTCCGGGCTACGTCTTTTCTTGCGAGCCAAGGACGTCGTTCTGTTTTATCGCGCAAAATCCTCGTCCTCCGTTGTCGCACTCCTCTCCCGCCAAGTAGCTTCGCCCTTTCGGCGGGGAACGAAGCAGCATTCTACAATCGCAATTAACGGGGATTAATCTCGCGTTTGTTCCCTCGCCACAATCGAGCCTCGCGCGATTTATCGTTCTCTGCAAGGTTCCGCGTAGGGCGCTTTATTATTGCCCGAGAATGCGGTAGGGCGACTCCGCGCGTCTCGAAGTAGCGCGGCCAAATATTAGTCAGACGGCACCTGCGGGTATCAACAGCGGGTCGGCCGTCGGTAAGTTCCCCTCGCCGGTAAAGAGCCGGTTATCGACGACGGGGTTGCACCCTGCGAGCGAGGGCGGCCCTCACCCTCGTGTGTTCCTGGATAACGGAGGCCAGCCCGCGGACGCGTTGTACCAGCGGCGCGTTACACACGTCATCGTTTATATCGTTCAACGATACTCGACGCTTCTGGACGAGGGTCGTTCATTACCGGGTCATTTATTACCGCCTCTAGCCGGAGTAATCAAGAGGTCCCAATTCGTTACGCGCGCACCGCTAACGGCGCGGCGCAGTCAAAGCGAAACTTGCCGTTATTACCCGGCAACGTTCCGAAAGGTTATTTGACTCCCGTAAATTTCCGATTATTGCGTAACTTGGCGAGCCGTGCGCCGAGGTTAAACGCGCACTTACGACACTCGCTATTAAATAGCAAAAACCGTAATTATGCTGTTCCATTCTGCAAACTGTGTAAAATACACACTTTTATGCGAACTTGTTTGGTTGCACGACACTTTTAGGGGTGATTTTAGGAAAGTTGGCAATAACAGTACAGTAGTTTTGTCGACGTTCGTATTGCAGCGTCGGTATTATTAATTTTGCAATTTTTTGACGGCTTAATTGTATGTGTTAAGCTAGCGCTGCACTATGCGCGATTCGTGATTCGTATATTTGTGAATGGTGTGCAGGAAAAATTCGTCGATTCGCCGTGCGCGATTCGCCACTCTGCCAGAAATAATTCTACAAAATTCTACCAAAAAATATACTATAAAAACTAAGATACAACTGCCAGAATCTAAGAAATTCTACGTAAATTTAAAAAGTGTTATAAAAATCAACTTGAAAATGCCAGAATCGAAACACTTTTGATAATTTTTGTAATATTCTACAAGTAAGCAAATATTTTAATTCTTTAAGATTTTGTTTCTCCAATTTTTAAAACTAGCGCTTTAAATTTGACTTAAACCGACCAGTGTTTTAATACAGAAATTTTATTGCGAAAAGTATTACCTCAGGGTTTAAACTAGAGCTTTCGATTGGATACGTGTTTTAAGATTTACGTGTACACGTAATCCGTGTACACGGATTTAAGGTACCTTCATTCACGTGTACCTGTGTACGTGACACGTGTACTCGAATATCCGCGTATGTGTGATACGTGTAAACGTGTGCAAATATTTATCGCAATTTGATGAAAGATCTCTATTTCTGCATATGTTGTTCGACATATGTATACGCATAATTCCAGCATTCCAAGTTTTATCCAGATTTTGTCACATAATTCTCCAAATATTTCCCTATTGAGGTATACACGGCAACACGTTTACATATGCCACATACACGGATATTTTTATCCATAGCCACAGATAACGGATTCACGTAAATGAAGATTCTTTAAATTTGTGTACACGGGTTAAAACGCGGATAAGTTAAATACACGGATTACACGCGTATAGTCTAGTACACGCGTACTAGGGAGCTCTAGTTTAAACCTGGACTTCTCTACTCTCTAGGCGGGCGTCTCACCAATTCGATCACTGAGGCATGTAATATTTGTCGCAATAACAGTATAAAGGTGATATCTTCGCGTCTATTTTTCGACTTGAAAATTTCTGTATTAAAACACTGGCCGATTAATGTCGACTAAAACACTTGATTGATATTGAAACTTGACTAATTGTAGACTCGTGATACAAGTCCTGTGATAACAGGTAAAGGTTAAAAGTTGTCCAATGAATTACGAATGGTAAACTGAGAATCACGAATAGTGTGGTAAGCAATAACCAATGTCTAACGAATTTCTGCGAATCACGAATTGCGCATAGTGTGGCGCTAGCTTTTGAGATATTAAGAAATTTAAGTACTAGCGTTTGCCCAATGGCTTTTAATCGCATAATTTTACTCCTCCACGTCAGACTGGTATCGAATGTGCTATTACTAAATTATGTTTCTTAAGACCGTTTTAGACGATCTATAATTCGTATTAGACTTCAAGCCAGATTAGATTTCAAGACAATTAGATTTCAAGGCATATTAGATTTCCATTTATAATCTCTTACATGCCGAGTATTTTGATACGATCCGATAATTTAATATGCGTTTTTACGTCGCCCTCTGATTCTTTAATTGGTTTTTGTATCACATAAAATCGTAAGTAGAGCCTCAACTATACTTAGATCATTGAAAGTGGATTTAAAAACTTTCGCCCCCCGATTTATAATTCACGTCGTAAATCAAGATAAAATTCTATTTATAATCTTTTATATGCCGTGTAATATAAACAAAAAATTTGAAGGATTAGAACTATGCATACGCATTAAAATATACGCATGTATCAAAGTGGACGGCATTAAATGGGTTTCATGCAACGTAATTCCGCGAAACTGTGCATCGAGACTGATTCCGACCATATTTTCGACATTCGCTGCGCGTTGTGATTATGCTCTTCTCTTATATAATCTGTGAACATATTTTCGGCGTAGTTATTTCAACGTACTCAGTTTTAGACTGCAGTTAACAATATTCAAGAAAGTACGATAGTTTCGTTGACATTCGTATTACGATGCCAGCATTACGATCATTAATCTTGCGGTTGATTTTCCGAAGGTAGCGACCGTCTATTAAAGACGTTGAGAAATTTGACGTTAGCTCAAAAGCTTTTAATCGCCCGACCCCTCCGTGCCAGGTTGACATCACATTCGATGTTATCGTAATGTTACGTTTGCTCCTAAACGTCATCCACGCGGAGAGAATTTGCTCTTAAAATTTATCCTGAAAATTATGTGATCGTGAGGCAACATGACATTTTGAACAACTTTATGAGAGTTTATGGAAATTTTACCATACACTTTACTAGAAAAATATAATAACAATAAAAATTCTTTCGAAAATATGTTTAGTTTCAACGTGAGAATTTTGAAATGAGATTATATTGCGTTAAAGCAAGAAAAACTTACTTGAATGAAGCGATTTTATATAATTGAATCAAGAAAAATATACGCTTATCGTTTAAGAATAATTTCCTAGAATGGGAAGGAAACAATGTATTGGATAGAAAATATCATATTGTCAAATCGAAGTTTATAATTAAAATAATTATAAGTAGGTATTGAAGTGACATGGTGTTTAAATGAGACTAATATTGTTGGAATGTAAGATTATGAAATGCTTTTAAGAAGATTACAGATTGTTGCGTGTATACAAAACAATGAATGCGTTAATTTGAGTTTATATAAGAGTTTATCTGACATAAATTTTTTTCTGTGTATAATTAATTACTAGTGAAATGTATAGTAAAGTTTCAAAAAACTCTCATAAAGTTCTTCGAAATGCCGCTATGTCCCACGATTACATGACTTTCAGGATAAATTTCAAAAGAAAATTCTCTCCGTGCAATTAAGAGAATTTCTTTTATTACTTGAACGAACCAGGCGCCGAGATTAATACTTCCGGGATTAATACATCTATGCTAAGTAACGTGATAATCATACTCTCCTCCTAGATAATATTTCAGGGGGATTCATAATGGCGCGACGGTCCTGCCGACATTCGGGGTTACGACGCGAGCTTCATTAATTCCGCGGCTTATTTTTTCAACGGTAGGTTGTCAATTAGAGATATAAGAAACTTAAATATTAGTATTTGCTCGAGAGGCTTTCACTTGCGCGAGTCCACCCCTCCCGTTCTAGATTGGCAGTCCTTTTGTAAATTTTCACCTCTCGTCGCGGGCATTCGCCCGAACTCTGTAAATAGAGTTGGACCGCTTTCTATGCACACATATATGGAGCATTCTGGAACAATCGTTAACGAACGAGTCACGTAACGTACTTTTCATACCACCGACTAGTGTTTCTGTTTATATTTTTCTCCGTCAGAAATAAGATACGCGTTGATACTGTCAAAGCGCGCCGTATGATTGACAAGTATAGAATTTCTGTCCTCCTGTAATAGCACGTCAAATAACGATAAGCTATTCTCCGATTTTCAAGCGAATAAACTGTTTAACGGATATCTCGACATTCGCAGAAATAACCGACGTTTTCGAATGCCACGTTAAAACATTTTCGATGTCGATTATTTTGCGAACAAAATAGCGACGATTG